CCCAGGCTGGCCTGCTAGGCCCTAGTCTGTCACCTTGGCTATCCTTATTTCCCACTTCTCTTTCCCCAGGATACAGTCCTTCCCCCGCAACTCTGTACTGAACCAGGAGACTGTGCGGACTCTCATGCACCATGCCCTGACCACCTGGGGTATTGAGTCAGGCCTCAAATTCCAGGAGGTGGGTTCTCAGGGCCAAACAGAGCCTGACATCCTCATCGACTTTGCCCGGGCCTACCACCAGGACGGTTACCCCTTCGACGGGCAGGGGGGCACCCTAGCCCACGCCTTCTTCCCCGGGGAGCATTCCATCTCTGGGGACACTCACTTCGACGATGAGGAAATCTGGACTTTTGGGTCAAAAGGTACAATGTCCCTTCTCCTGAGACATCCTCTCTCCAGGTCTGTCTGTCCTTAAGAATTAGGTATAAATTACATTTATTGATGGAGGCTCTATAAGTTGGGCTTCTCCAGGAAAACAGAACCAATAAGGTGTGTGTGTGTGTGTGTGTGTGTGTGTGTGTGCGCGCGCGTGCACACGGGCACATGTGCATGAAGTGATTTATTTTAAGGAACTGGTACAGAATTGTGGGACTGGCAAGTCCAAAATCTGTAAGGCAGGCCCACAGGCTAGAAGTTCACCTGAGAATTGATGTTGCAGTCTTGAGTCCAAAATCTGTAGGGTGAGCCAGCTGGCAGGAAACCTAGGCAGAATTTCTATGTTGCAGTCTTGAGGCAGAATTCTTTCTCTGGAAGACCTCCGTTTTTGCTCTTAAGCCCTTCAACTGATTAGATGAGGTCCACCAACAGTATGGAGAATAATCTGCTTTACTTACAATCAACTGATTGTAGATGTTAATTACGTCTACAAAATAACCTCCACAGCAACACCTAGGCTGGTATTTGACCAAGCAACTGGGCACCATAGTATGGCCACACTGACAGAAAATTACTCATCAAAGAGGCCTGTTAGGTGCCCAGCTTCGAGCTGGGGCTGAGAACTTAAAAAGGTAAAAACACATCTCTGTCCAGCAGTTGAGTCAGAAGAGTATTGGCAATTGCCACATGTGATGACACAGCTACAGGGAAGTTCTCAAGCCTGTGGGTGCTCAGAGGAAGGACTGATATGAGGCTTTTGGCTGCAGAGGACTCCCTGGAAGCAGTGACCCTGTTCATTACACACACACACACACACGCAAACACACACTGAGTGCCAACTAGCACACAAGGTCTCGCTCTCCTGGAGTATACAGGGAGGGGGTGAGGCACAATATGAAAGCTCAAGCCAGTGGGCTAGCTGAGTGCAGGATAGTCAGGGGTGGTCAGGGATGGGAGCACTGGGGTGAGAAATGGCCTGGGACATTCGGGGTTGGAAGGCAAAAACTACAATGTCGGGAGGGAGACTATAGAGGATGGATGGAAGCCTTCATACCATACAAAGGGCCTTGGAGAGCATGGGGAGGAGTCTGAATTGTAGGATTCTGAAGGCAATAGATGTGGAAGGTTTTGCATTTTAGAAATGCCACTGGCTGCAGTGCAGGGCAAGATAGGGGCAGGGAGGCAGGAAGTTGCTACAGGGTCAATGTGAGAGATGGTGGTGGGCGGTGGGCACTGGTGAATGGGGGGCAGTGGCTGTGAGTGAAGTTTAACTAGGATGGGCAAAGATTGGGGTCTGACTGGATCTTGGCGGCAAAGGGTATAGGAGGGTGGGGCCCTGGCCCCTGGAGGACAGAGTCCTGTTAATGCAGGTGAGAAGTGTGGGAGGGGGAGGAGCAGGCTGGGGCAAGGTAGGGGTGAGTTCAGGTGTGTGGGGGGTGTTTGCAGCGCTTATGGGCAGTCAGTGCAGCTAGTGAATGGTAGTTCAGTACGTTGCTCTAGAGCTTGGACTCCTCTGGCTTAGGTCAGGTTTCCCAGAACTGAAACTCAAGATGGAAATTCTTATGCAAGCAGTTTCTTGGGGACACGTTCTCAGGGGAAAGGGAAGCAGGAGAAGCCTAGGGAAAGAAGCTGAGCAAGGATGTGGTCTCAGCACCAGAGGAGCCTGACCCCACTGGGAGCTCTAGAGCACAAATGGTGCCACAGGGTTGGCTCTGCATGAAGGTGAGGTGCCCAGCTCTCCTAGTCCTGTATCAGCCAGCCATCGTGACCTGCTGGGCAGGGGTGGCCTCGGAGGGAGAGCCATTTTTCTGGGGAAGGGGATGGGCACATGGGCTCAGAGATGATTTGGGTGAGGTGCAGCTAACATCCACAATAGTGAGACTGTGTAAGACAGCATTTAAGGATGTAAGCTTGTCCTGGTCCGTGTGGCTCAGTGGGTTGGGCGTTGTCCCCTGCAGTGAAAGGTTGCAGGTTCAATTCCCAGAGCACATGCCTGGGTTTTGGGCTCAATCCCCAGTAGGAGGCGTGCAGGAGGCAGCCTTATTGGTCCTTCTCTCTCCTTTCCATCTCACTTCCTCTCATCCTCTCTCTCTAAAATAAATAAAAAGGATTGCAAGCTTGAAGTGCAACTCAAGGCAGGGATCCTCTGTTTGCTAAGTGTGTAAGTTACCTGACTTCAGTGTGCTCAGTTTTTGCATCTGAGAAATGGGGCTAATAACATTACCTGCTGGTAGCACGGACTTACAGATTAAGCGAGCCATTCACCTCCAGCTCTCTGCACAGGGCCTCACACAGTGGCGCTCTCTTCATGGCCAGCTGCTATCAGAGCTGGGCCTGGTGGCAGACTTAAGAGTCAGCGGAACTGGGGGCGCGTTGATAAGGGGGAGAATGTGGAATGTGAAGGTCAAGTACAGAGCTGCGGAGAGCCCCATAGTAAAGGGGTAGGCGTCAGGGGAGGAGGAATCACGAAACAGAGAAAGAACAGGCCAAATGTGGTAAAGAGCAAGAGCGAAAGAGGAGGTGGACAGCAGTGGCAAACCAGTGCAGCAGGCTATATGGTTTCAATTTGGTCATCTGGGAATGAAGTGACCTTAGTGTCTGTAGGCATGGTGGGTGGGGGAAGGATCCAGACCATAGTGAGGTTAGGCATGAGAGGAACTGAGGACGTGCGGACTGAATCTAGACCACTGACCAAATTGCTCGCTGGGGAGGGAGAGGGCTGTGGGTGCGGGCAGACGGGGTAGGATGAGGGAGCCCTGAGAGGGCTGATGGATGAACAGATGGGTGGATGGAAGCACGGATGGGTGGGGGAATGGACGAATGGGTCTGGCATTGTCCTTGTTCTAGAGGAGGTGAGCGAGGCAGGGCAGGAGGTGAGCATGGGGGAGATGAAGCTATCTATTCTGGGTACACAGGAAGTTACAGATTACGTAGGATGGCCTGTCTTGATGCAATAGGAAATGCACTTGCCAGCATTTGTCATCTAAGGGCTGGACCTGGGAGGCAGCTTGAGGGGCTGTGGGCCTGGAATTGAGGCTGAATGCCGACAGCAAAGGAGCTTCGGGCTGAGGCTCAGGGCAAGGATGAGAAGAGGTGTTGAGGACTCCCATAGACTAATCTGTGAGGCTTGATCGGCACAGTTGGGTAATTTCCCCCAGCTGCGTAGCCTGAGAACGCAAGTAAGGGGTGTGGCCAAAGGAGAGGCAAGGCAGGGAAGTGGGGGGAGGGAGATGAAAGAGATCTACCTGATTAAGACACCAAACTTCCTCTAGCTTTTCAGAAAAAGGACTCAGCAATCAGAAAACCCACAGTCAATGTGGGAACTCATCAGTACATATGAGCATGACCAAGACTATCTGAAATCACTGCTGAAAGCAGGACAGCACAGCCAGAGTACTCAGCCTTAGTTTCAGCTCTGTCATTTAACTTCACTTCTCTGCGCCTGTTTCCTGGCCTGTAAAATGGGGTTGGAGGTAGAGGTTTTGTGAGAAGTAAATGAGGACAAGTGTTTGTTACTCTTTTTATGACTTACGCATTTCTTTCTTAGACTGTCATCTCGTGGCCTTTAGTGGCTGAGAGAAAGTTGCTTCTCAGTTCACCAGGTCACTTCCATTAAACCCACTTTCAACACTGCTGACCCTAGTTAGAGATTTCCATGAAGCAGATCAACATCTGGGGAAATCTATGCCTTCTGGGGGCTGCTCACCCCTCTTGCTGTCTCTGTCTCTTTTGGCCTCTTACCTGCTAAGCAGGAGTCAGCAGGCAGCTTGTGGATAGATGAGGAACTGATATTTGGCCAGCAACTGGGAGCGTGAAGAGGCTTGCTTCTGGCGCCTGGGCTGGGTCCCCAAGGAAGAGGCCTCTGTGTTCAGAGAGGCTGGGCGCCCAGGCCAGCAGACTGTGGTCAGAGAGTGCATGCTGAGGCTTTGGGTTCTAAGGAGATGGATGAAGGCTGCAGGTGGGGGGAGGAGAGGCCGGGACCCCAGGGAGGTGGGGAGTGGTGGAAGCTGTGGGAGGGAGAGATGGGGGAGAGCTATAAAGATAGAGAGGATGTGGGCAGATGGAAGGAAGGGGGAGGAGGGAAGGACCATGGGGGTGGGAATGGGGTTCTGAATGTCTTGGGAGTGGGGGCCAAGGAGACTGACCAACATTTCTCGTGGGTGGGAGTGGGAAAGTGGGGAGGGGTGGGCACCTTTGAGCAAAGGCTGGAGCTGGGAGGGAGGAAACTCCAAGGGCTGAGGCTTCCTCGAGAGAACTGTATGCACCCCCAGACTCCTGCTTTCCTTCCCCCATGTTTCTGTATGCACAGATTTCCCTTCTTGCAGGCTGGGCCTACATCAGTGTAAGCTGGTCCCTCCTCTGTCCAGACTGTCTCCTCCTGTCCTTCCCCTAACCTGTTCCATGGATCTTTTTAGCTTGGCATGCCAATGTCTAGCACTGCCAAACAAAAATATTTGCCAAATAAGTGAACACATACAGGAAGGATGAAATGGCTCAGGGAGGCTTTTGGGCAGAGATGGCTGTGGCCACCTCTGGAGAGTCTCCTGGCTGTTCCTGTCTGCCAGGAAGTCCCACTCCCAAGGGTTTCCTTGCTGCCCTTTCCTGGCTGCCACAGCTCCAGCCCATTCTCCCTTCCTCCCCAGATGGTGAGGGGACTGACCTGTTTGCTGTGGCTGTTCATGAGTTTGGCCATGCCCTGGGCCTGGGCCACTCCTCTGCACCTGACTCCATCATGAGGCCCTTTTACCAGGGCCCTGTTGGGGATCCCACCAAGTACCGCCTGTCCCAGGATGACCGTGAAGGACTGCAGCAGCTCTACGGTACAGGGAGTTGTGTGTGTGTGGGCGGGGGGGGGGGGG